TCCAAATATTGAAGCAACGTATTGGGCCAGTGGGTACATATATGCGACTTAACCGTTATACAATGCGCTTTCATCGCAGAGAGAGGGTGTCAGGGAAGGTTAGTGTATAACGAAATGTGCAGATTTTATTCCTTTCAATTATATATATATATATCAAGAGTGCATAATAGATGCTCTAGTGTATGCACTGCTTGGTGTGTGTGTGTGAGTGTGTGTGTGTGTGTGTGTGTGTGTGTGTGTGTGTGCACATACGTACGAACGAATAAACATAACTAAATGTGAAATATTATTATTCACCAAAAAATATTCTGATATCTATTAATACCTTTTAAATGTTTAATTTTCTATTTTTGCTAGGTAGGCCTCTTTTTTTTGCCCCCCCCCCATTTCCTCTCTCCATTTCTCTATTTCTTTCTGCACCCCGTTCTTCCTCATTGGTTCACTGCCCTCCCTCCCTCCCGCCCTCTCATCGCTCAAAGATGAGTATTTGAGTTGCCGGAAGCGATTTGCCTGAGTGTGATTTCATTGATTAGCTAACACTGTAATCAGTTTTACGAAGAAATGTAATTTAGTCGGCATTACTTCACATGCTTCGTCACACCCATCAACCCGATCAATGCCTAAATTCATTAGCATTAAAGTGAAAATACAAGATCGAGCCTTGCGCTGTGGTTGTGCGCATGCACGTGCCGTCGTCAGTAACTGCATATATCGCTCGTCTGCGAGTCATTCCCATCGATTACAATATAATAACGAAATTTTATTTATATTATATAATATATTATAATATATTATATTATAATATATTTATAATTAATGTTATGGTTAGGCCTATATTATAAATATCTGTTGTTAAATTTGTTATTATTATTATTTTTATTATTATTATTATTATTGCAATATTGCTGTTGTTATTGTTGTATCTTAGCTTATTACCGGTAATTTGACTACATGGAGATCAGGGAGCAGAACACGTCAACGCCATTGTCTATAGCACCGTTAACGGCGGCCATTTTGTGGCAAGCGAATACAAAGATAGCGGCCGTTTCGCTAACGAATGGATGTTATAGCTGCACACACATACACACACGCGCGCACGCACGCACACACACACACACACACACACACACACACACACACACACACACACACACACACACACACTTGTAAGCGCACGCACCCACGCACGCACGCACGCACGCACGCACGCACACACGCACGCACGCACGCACGCACGCACGCACGAATGCATACATATATATATATATATTTATTTATTTATTTATTTATAGTATAAGTAGATATCTATGGGCAGCTGAGCCGGAGATGTGTGGAGGGATCGTATATCGTTTCCAGACTGAATTTTAAATAAAAAAAAAATTTTAATAGTTTTTTTGTTTCCGTCGAGTGACATCTCTATTCCAGCGCTGCCCGGACTCGAATATTTTCTGAAGATTGGCCGAGGTGTCGTGGTTTATCATATCTGTCCTGATCAGTTCATCGATTATTGGTATCGAATAGAGAAGCGGTGGAATATTATCTCGCGCACGACAGTTATGTTTGTCTTTTTGCTTGTTTGCTCGTGTGTGCGTGCGTGTGTTTGTGCGTGCGTCACTGAGCTTGCATATGTGTGGTTACGTGCTTGTGCGTGTGTGTGTGTGTGTGTGTGTGTGGGGAGGGGGTGCACTCTGTCTCCCTGTTTTCAGTGAGTTATTGTCAGAGAGATTACTCAGTGAAAAACAAAACGTGGCAAATTAAATATTTAGGCGCCAATTTCGCTGGCATTGCTCTATTCTACGCACGCAATTTTCCAGCATTAGGTTCTAGGCATTACCCATCGAGAAAATTACG